GGATGGATGGTTGGAGGGATGAGGAGATGGTTGGGGAGATGGAGGGATGAGGAGATGGTTGGGGGGATGAGGAGATGGTTGGAGGGATGGATGGATGGATGGTTGGGGAGATGAGGAGATGGATGGATGGATGGGTTGAGAGCCTGGCCCAGGTTGCCCAGAGAAGCTGTGGCTGCCCCATCCCTGGAGGGGTTCAAGGCCAGGTTGGAGGGGGCTTGGAGCAACCTGGTGTGGTGGGAGGTGTCCCTGGGTGGGACTGGGTGGTCTTTAAGGTCCCTTCCCACCCAAACCATTCCATGATTCTGTGGTTCCACCATCCCAACCTAGGCATGTTTAGTTTGGAGAAGAGGAGGCTGAGGGGAGACCTCATTGCCCTCTCCAACTCCCTGAAAGGAGGGTGGAGAGAGGCAGGTGTTGGCCTCTTCTCCCAAAGGACGAACGACAAGACCAGAGGAAATGGTCTGAAGTTGGGGCAGGGGAGATTTAGATTAGATATTAGAAAGAACTACTTTCCTGAGAGAGTGGTCAGGCCCTGGAACAGCCTGCCCAGGGAGGTGGTGGAGTCACCATCCCTGGAGGGATTTAAGAAACGTGTAGACATGGCTCTTCAGGGCCTGCTCTAGTGCCCAAGGTTATTGGTTTATGGTGAGGTGTTGAGTGTGGGGTTTAGTTGGTGGGTGCGGTATTTTTGGTGGGCGTTTGGTGTGGTGTGGTTTGGTTTGGTTGTTTGTGGTTTTTGGGGGGTTTTTTTGGGGTTTTTTTTGTGGTTGGACTCGATGATCTCAGAGGTCCCTTCCAACCACTAAGATTCTGTCATTCTGTGATTCCCACCCAAACCATTCCATGATTCACCATCCCAACCAAACACCCCAGAATTTCCCTTTGGGTGGCCGTTGAAGTTCCTCCTCCACAGGGTGACCCCCGAAGTTCTCAGGTGGTATCTCCTCCTCCATTACGTGGTGTGGAACGTTGCAGGAACCATTCCTTCCTCTTCCTGCTCTTTTCCAGACATGGCCAAGCGCGTCGCTAACCTGCTGCGGGTGGTGCTCAGCCTGCAGCACGCCCCGGAGCCCCTCTCCGACCCCACGCCCGACCTGCAGCGCGTCCCCCTCCGCCTCCTGGCCCCCCACGTGGGGAGACTCTCCATGCCCGAGGACTACGCCTTGGAGGAGCTCAGGAGCCTCACCCAGTCCTACCTACGGGAGCTGACGGTGGTGACTCACTGAGGAGGAACCTCTTTCATTGAGGAGGAACCTCTTCCACTCCTGATGGGGACAGATTTTTACCTTTTGTTAACCCTTAACCCTTGTTCTGAGGGTGAAGGACCTCTCTCTCTCACCACGAGGGGGTTTCCATGGAAGGTGGAAAACAGCTTTAGGACGTGGGCAGGAGTGGCTGTAACTGGTGGGACCTGGCTGGTGGCACCTTCAACCAACCACGCACCGTCTCCCTCGAATCAATAAAGCGCCTCTTGCCGAGCCTGTCTGCTGGTGGGACCGGAGTGGGGACACCCTGGGGGCTCCATCTCCTGCCAGATCCTTCTCCCCCCATCCCGTGGCAGCGCAGAGGATGGTGAAGGAAGTTCTGGGACAGTTTTTGTGGGTGGACTCTGCTCCGGGGGGGGGCTGTGCTGGGTCAATGGATCAACCTTTGTCCCCTGAATGAGCTTTAATGGGGGCTTTTGTGGTCGGAGTTGGGTGGGGAGAAGGTGGAACTGAAGTTCAGAAGAGTCTTTTCCTGCCTTCTCTTGCTTCTTTGGAGACCTGCGAATGTGTTGTTTCTCTCATTTCTCCATCCTCCATCTCCACGAGCTTCTTCCCTGCCCCAGGAGAAGGGGGAGGTGACACGGGTGGGTGGCATCTCTGGGGATGGACACCTCCTGGGCGTTGCACGCAGTAAAACCCAGGAGCTTGTCCCAAGAGTCACCACCTTCCTGGACTCCGTGCTGCTGGTGGTAGAGGCCAGATCCTGCTCCAGAAACACCAAACCACCCAAAGATGTCACCTGCCCATGGAGCAGAGCGGCCTGGTGGCCTCCACCACCCCCTGTGCAGGTGCCACCCGTGTCTCCTGTGGGGTTGGGTCACCTCGAGTGGAGCCACCACCTCAGCCCATCCCACCAACCCGCTGCTGTCCGTGTCCCCTGGTGCAGTCCCTGCCCTCGCTGCCTCCACAAACCCACCATTTTTTTGGAAGAAGAAAAAAAAAAAAAGCTGTTTCTGGGTCTGCTCTGGTTCTGGGGTCACGGTGGTGGCACCTTCTGCCACCTCGGCCTCTGCTCGTGGCGTCCGGCGCCGCTCTGCGCCGCCTCGGCTGAAGGTCTTTATGCATGAGGATTATACAAAGGTTTTTATTAAAAAGAAAAAAAAAATATAAATAAATGATCTAGATTATTTTCCTGTCTTTTTGAGAACAATAAATAAAATGTTTATAGTATTCCCGTGGCTTCTTTTGCTTTTTCCTGTGATTTTTATTTTGTTTTTTTTCCTGTGGTTTCATTTGCTTTTTAAGTAACATTTTGTTTTCGTAGGCACGGTGTCCCTTGGCTTGTCCCACCTGGGTGGCATGAGGTGGCTCAGATGGTGGCACGGACACAGGAACAGGGATGACACTGGAGAAGCTGGACCCTCCCTTGAAGCTGAATCTGTCCAGAAATGGGGTTTTACAGGTAAAAAAGGAGCTCGGTGTGGAATTGGGAATGGTACCTGGTCACAAAGGACACAGAAAAGGTACTGGGTGTTGTCTTCACCTTGGTCTTTACTGCTGGGACTGGCCTTCAGCTGCCTCAGGTCTCCAAGACCGGTGGGGAAGGTGGGAGTGAGGAAGAGTTGGAGAGGGTGAGGCTGAGGAGTGTGTGGAGTTGGGGGTCAGGGTGGGCCCTGCAGGCCACTGTCACCCCTTTGAAAGGTTGTGGTGGCCATCATGAGCTGCCAAGACCATGTTGGAGGGGGCTTGGAGCAACCTGGTCTGGTGGGAGGTGTCCCTGCCCAGGGCAGGGGGGTTGGAACTCAATGATCTTCATGGTTCCATTCTATGACCCTATGACTACACGAACCCATGGGGGCCACCATACATGGTCATTGCTTGGGCAGAGTGATGGGAGATGGGGGTCAGGTTGGGCCTTGCAGGCCACTGTGACCTCTTTGAAAGGTCGTGGTGGCCATCAAGAGCCACCAAAACCAGGTTGGAGGGGGCTTGGAGCAACCTGGTCTGGTGGGAGGTGTCCCTGCCCAGGGCAGGGGCTTGGAACTCAATGATCTTCATGGTTCCTTCCACCCCAACCCATTCTATGACTACACGAACCCATGGTGGCCACCACAGCTGGTCATTGCTTGGGCAGAGTAACAGGAGATAAAGGTCAGGTTGACCCCCGGGGAGGGGGAACACCCCATCACAGGGGTTACCTGAAGGAGAGGTCCATGTCCTGGGCTGGGGAGGGATCCCACCCTCTGCTCCCTGAGGTGGGGCCATGGTGGGGGTCTGGTGGTCTCTTCTCTGGAAGTTGGGGAGGGGGGGGATACAGAATCACAGAACCTTCTAGGTTGGAAGGGACCTTAAAGATCATCTTGTCCAACCGTCAACCCAACTGACAAAAATAGACACCCCCACAACAAACAAGGAGCATCATCACTAAACCAGACCTCCCAGCACTACATCAACCCGGCTTTTGAACACCTCCAGGGATGGGGCCTCAACCCCCTCCCTGGGCAGCCCATTCCAAGGGCTGATGACCCTTTTGGTGACAAAATGTTTCCTAATATCCAGCCTGAACCTCCCCTGGGGCAACTTGAGGCCATTTCCTCTCGTCCTGTCGCCTGGGACTTGGGAGAAGAGACCGACCCCCACCTCTCTACACCCTCCTTTCAGGGAGTTGGAGAGGGCTCCGTTGAGCCACCTCTTGGGCACCAAACACCAAAAAGAAGTGAAATTTGTGTCTCCTCACCCTCACGGGGCGGTTGTCCCCCCGAGCTGGCACGGCCCCACAGGTAAACGTGACACCGGCCGGGTGGCTCCGGCCTCGTCTCCATCCATTACCCTAATTACCTCTCTGCTGCCCCGGGACGTGGGGCTGGGGATGAATAATTCACCACCCTGGAAACCAAAACCTCCCGCCTTGGAACCACCCGGCGCTTGGCATCTGCTGCTGGGAAAGGTGCCAGGGGAGCGGGGGCTGGTGGCCTCCCCCCGGGGATCATGGAATGGTTTGGGTGGGAAGGAACCTTCAAGCCCACCCAGGGACACCTCCCACCAGCCCAGGTTGCTCCAAGCCCCCTCCAACCTGCCCTTGAACCCCTCCAGGGATGGGGCAGCCACAGCTTCTCGGGGCAACCTGGGCCAGGCTCTCACCACCCTCACACCAAACAAGTTCTTCCCCACATCTCAGCTCCATCTCCCCTCTTTCAGGGTCAAACCCTTCCCCCTCCTCCTAGGCCTCCCCTCCCTCAGCAAGAGTCCCTTCCCCATCTCTCCTGGAGGCCCTTGGAGGGGTGTGATGGTGGGTCATAGAATAGTTTAGGTTGAAAGGGACCTGAAGACCACCCAGTGCCACCCCCTGCCCTGGGCAGGGACATCTCCCACCAGCCCAGGTTGCTCCAAGCCCCCTCCAACCTGGCCTTGAACCCCTCCAGGGATGGGGCAGCCACAGCTTCTCGGGGCAACCTGGGCCAGGCTCTCACCACCCCAGGAGTGGGGACACGCTCCCTGTGGGCAGGGACCTCCCTGTCACCTCCTGCTTTGTCCCTTGGAGGTCACATCCCTTGACCTCCCGGGGTTTTATTCTCCCCCAAACTGGGAATAATCTTCTTTTTTCTCTTTCCTTGCTCTTTTACTGGGATGGGAGAACGGGAGGTCCCTCGGTGGGAGCAGCATCCCCCCAGGCTCTTCTCACTGCCGTGGCCTTGGTGGGCACCAGTGCCCCTACATCTCCTTTTCAGCCCCAAATTTTCCTTTTCCAGCCTGTTCTGGGGCAGGATTGTGGGGGGGAACCCCCCATCCCACACCCCCTCAAGCCCAGAAGCACCTTGACAGGGTGGTTTCCAGCTGCTGGTGGCTCCAGGTGGGCAGAAGCTCCGGACAACACGATGAGGAGCAACCACATCCCTGGCAGCTCCATCCCACCACCTTCTCCTTGTCACCATGGTCCTTTCCCCCCCCCCCAAAACTGCCCAGAATGGGCAGAGAAGGGGTTGCCCACCCAGGTGGGTCTCTTGGGAGTGATGGTTTAGGGGGTGGGTGGGCAAAGACCTGGCCCAAAAGGAGCTCAACTGCACCCAAAACCCATCCTGACCCCCCCAACCTCGGGGGTCACCCTCCAT